TCACTCATCTGTAGATGCAAGTCTGGCCATCGTAGCCAGGGTCCAAGCCAGGGCCAGGGCAGGGGCTGGAGATGGGGGCTGTGGCCTGGACTGCACCCCAGTGGGCTGAGTGACAGGACTTTTGAGATGTGGTGGTGTCTGGTCCATGCGGGAGTTATGGTTTCTCTTGAAACCACAGAGACCTGGGTTTGAATCCCAGCTCTCCTATTTGACTGTCAAATCTTGAAGTCCCCTCACCTCTCTGTGGCAGTTTCCTCATTTGTAAAATTGGGTTGATGAGGATTAAATGCTTTAATGTACCTCAACTGCCTAGCCCAGGGCCCGGCATACAGTAGGTGCTCAATAAATGCTTATCCTTTCTCCTCTGTCTCTGTCATCCTGCACACCCCTGTGATTCATGGTGTACATACAGCTTTACACACATCACCTCCCTTGTGGCAAAGCTTGAACCTTCCCCTCCAGAGGCTGCTGCATACAGTAGGTGTGCAATAAATGCCTGCTGTGATTGACTAAGAAACCAGTTGCTATTGCTCTGTGGGGATCTGGGCAAACCTAAGCGCTTCAATCCAGGTACCCTAGGAGGCATGGGATGGAGGCTGTGCCAGGCTGGCCTCAGTGGCGTTGAAGCCATTGATTCCACAACTTGTCCCTTGTTTTTCCTTCTCAAGTCACCAGGACACCTGGTCCTTGTTAGAAGCTAATTACTGGCCAGCTATGGGCCTGGGGCTGTGGGGCTTTTGGAAGACTGTATTTGGAGGAAAAGAGCTTTCTTTTCAGGAATTAAAAAAAAGAAGAGAGAAGGCTTCTGCTCTATGAATCAAAAATTTGGGTGAAGATATCTGCCAGCCCCATCTTCCCTGTTCTCCACCTACACAGATGTCTGTGGAGCCTCCAGAAAGGGCACTCCCACCCACAGCTGAGATTCAAGTTGTGATTAGCTGGGAGCTTCCCCCTGCCTTGTTGTCTAGCTAGGCAGAGAAACACAGGCCTGGAAAATAGTGCAACCAGTAGGGCAGTAATCTCTCCCAGTAATCCCAGCAACCATCAGGGCAGTAATCTCTCCTAGTAATCCCGGCTCACATGTCTCGGCTGGGGCTTCCCAGTTTACAAAATATTCACCTGGTCTCTTGACAACTGTGGAAAGTGTATGTGTTGGGGGACAGTGTCCTGGCCTCAGATGAAACTGAGGCTCTCAGTGAAACAGGGATGCTGTGGCTCCAGCACACCCAGGCCTGGCGTTCGCTCAGCCCGTAACCTGGGACTCAAACCCAGGACAGTGCTGAGCAGCATCATGCCAGGCAGACTAGCAGGAACCCGAGGCACAGCAGTATCCTTTATAGCAAAAGAAAACCCCGGCGTCCACGTTGCATTTAGTTATCCTGTCTTCTGAGTGTCCGTTCGTCTGGCACGGTTCTTCAGTGCTTCGATGTCTTCTGTGATGTTGCCCTTTTGACAGATACAGGCCAGTTCTTTTGCAGGTGAATTTTGGTTTGAGTGTGTCTGGTTTCCGCATGATTAGATTCAGGTTCTGCATCATGGTGGGAACACCTGGGAAGTGATGCCGTTCTCTTCTTACGCAGCCTATCAAGACACACACATCTGTGGGGGCGGTGGCTTACACCTACAATCCCAGCACCTTGGAAGGCCAAGGCAGGCAGATCACTTGAGGTCAGGAGTTTGAGGCCAGCCTGGCCAACATGGTGAAACCCCGTCTCTACTAAAAATACAAAAATTAGCTGGGCATGGTAGTAGGTGCCTGTAATCCCAGCTACCCAGGAGGCTGAGACAGAAGAGCTGGAACCCAGGAAGTGGAGTTTGCAATGAGCTGAGATGACACCACTTCAATCCAATAAACAAACAGAGGCACCCGTCTGTAGCGTCATCATCGGGATGCTGACTTGCATCACTTGGTTGAAGTGATGCCTGCCAGCCCTCTCCCCTGTAAAGTTACTGTTTCCCCTTTGCAATGAATAAGCAAACACCAACAATGAAAGGTCAGGATGGGGAAGGAAGCCAGTAAGAAGGCGGAGCAGGAGCAGCTGAGAGACAAGTAGGAGGGGCGGCAGGAGGGGGCGGGGCCAGCATTTGGGGCCAGTGCTGCCGAGAGAGGCCGAGAGTCCGTGCAGAAGCTGAAGAGTGTCCCTGGGAGGCACGTACCACCTGCCTTGGAGTTAAGCCTGGTTCGGGTGGCGCAGTGGGCCCGGAGCCAACTCATGCTAAGCAAGTGTGAGAAGGAGGCGGGAATAGAGACGACCGGGAAATGCCTCTGTGGGGAAGGGGGTCTGTGGCTGGGCAGAGAGGGACAAGTGGGGACAGAGAAGCATGTGGGCATGGGGGACGGTTTTGAATAGATGGAGGGGACTTAGGACATCCAGAGTGTGACAGGAGGGAGCTAGATGAGAGGCGCAAGTCAAAGGAGAGGGGTGAAATCCACAGCGTCCCAGATGGGAAGTGGGAGCGGACTGACAGCAGACGTGGTGGTTCTGAGGCCGTCGTGGGGGGTGCTTGTCAGAGCCCAGCCTGATGGGGCAGGTGGACGGGGACTGAGGGACGGCCAGGCGTACAGAGGAGAGTGAGCCACGCTGGGGTGACCCGTGGGGGTGGGAAAGCGGGGAGGGCGGCTGCCCAGGGGTGAGGTGGCTAGCAGGTGGCGAGGAGGGCAGGTCCAGGGTTCCAGCCGTGAGACTGTCCCCAGCAGCTTTAGCTGCCTGGTGCAGATGGACAAGGCCGACCTGGGGACGAAGGGCTGGGATGTTCCAGGAAAGCGGCTGCACGAGGAGGGTGGTGAAGGCTGGAGGGGCCTGAAGGGCGAGGCGGAAGTGTAGGGAGTGCAGGGTCAGCGGTGGGGTCTCAGCGATGGGAGGCAGGGGACGGCCTTCCAGGGAGACCGGCCGCCAGTGTTGCGGGAGGTGGTGGGAAGCCACGGATGGCAGTGGGGTCTGGGCTTCGAGGGAGTGGAGGCGTCTGCACATGGGGAGGTCTGGGGTTGGGGAGGCCAGGGCATTCGTGGTGGACCTAGGGAGGCCTGAGCCATCAGGATAATGGCAGGAGTTGGGGTGGGCTGGAGGGGGCCAAGAGAGGGGTGGAGGTGGCCCAGAGCCGTGGCTGCTAGGTTTACAAGTGAGGGACCCATAGCAGCCCTGAGGAGGTGTTGGGGGGCACCCTTGGACACCGGGGCCCCAGAGGAATGATGCATTTTATAGGAGGGCACACAGTCTGGGGACCAAGGTGGCTAGTGACCCACGCAACTTGGAACTGTGAGGCAGAAGAGATGTGAGGGCCAAGGGCCACCTCCAGGGGTGAGCTGGGTCTGTCAGAGCTGGAGGGAAGGGAGCACAGGGAATAAATTGGAGTGGCTTGTGATCTGCTGGGGTGTGGGTCACTTGATTTCCTGAAGAGCTGTGCAGCAGGATGATGGGCAGAAGCGGTCAGGGAGGAAGACAGGGGGCTCCCCGGGCCTGAAATGCCAGGAAGGTGGGGGTCCCAGCCCCAGATCCGGCCCTGTCAGCACTGGTGGACCATCAGGGCTCACAGTCTCCTGCAGGAAAAGCTGACATGGATGGGGCTAAGGAGGCAGCACTGGCCCCGGCCCGAGGCTACGGAGGCTGGGTCACCCTCAGCCTGGCCCAGGCCTCCCTTCCCAGAAATCAGAGGCTTGGTTGCTCCATGGGCATGGGGAGCACACAGAGGGTCTGCTGCTGCTGCTGGGGAGGGGGTGGGCCCCCGTCCTCTGCTGTGAGGCCTGCAGCCCCTCAGGGACCTCTGGACGCCTGCATGCCTGTCCTGCCTGCTGCTCTGAGCCCTCGCTGTGCCTGTGGCTGGAATGCGTTGAGCACGGCTTGGTTTCTATTCAGTCAGAGACTGTGATCCAAGGAGAGCCCTGGGTCTTGTGCGCTGGTTCTCTCTCTGCTACTTTGATGTAATAGGAGACTTTGGGCAAGTCCCTGATCCTTTCTGGGCCCTAGTTTCCTTAATTGTGTCCTGGGTAGTGACAGGCACCCTGTCTAAAGCCAGCAGGCATCTGGTTCTGGAGCTAGACGTGGCTCACCCGGTTCAGATCAAATCTCTGGTCTGAGTTACTGACAGTGGACAGTCCTTGGGACAGGAGCAGGGCAGATGGAGGTGTGGGCAGAGGAGTGGGGTTTCTCTGGCCGAAAAGGGGGGGAGAGGGGAGTTTCCTCAGGGAGGGACCAGAGAGGACAAGAGGAGACAGTGTGCTGGGGAGGGCAAAGATGGAGGTCAAGGTGAGAGCAAAGCATGTAGGTGCCCCGGAAGGACAAGGGACAGAACTTGGGAGATGCAGAGTGGCAGGGGCCCGGTGTGCAGGGGTGGGGCTGCTCCCGGGGCTGCATCATGGGCAGTTGGGAGGGGCCTCAGGCTTTGCCCTGAAGGTGTGAGGGCCGGAAGATGCTTTGGGCAGTGAGAAGTCTGGACAGGATGGGCAGCGGAGGCAGCTCTCAGCCAGGCCGACTGCCAGGAAGGGTCTGCTTGTCACATGCTGTTCTTGGAGAGTCACTCGCTGTGTCCCCAACCTCAACTAGCCTGGCAGTGCCTGTCAGAGGAGCAGCCACGAATTAGCCAGGAGGGGGCAGCATTGCCTGGATTTTCAAGCCCAGGCCTGTGCCCACCCACCCCGGCCCACACCTGCTCCGGCCTGGCTGCTGCTGGGCAAACAGGCACCATCTCCCGTTGGTCTTTGAGGAGGCTAGGGTCTCTGGGGCTGGCATTTGTCTTTCCTCCATTCTTGGCATCCAGAGGCCCAATTCACCTCCACCCCTGGACATAGGAGGGTGTGAGGGGAGTTCTACCTTGACCTGGCAGCCTGAGGCCAGTGTGAGGCATGGAGGGGATGTGGCTGAGGTTGGTGCAGGGATTGGGAGGGATTGTGGGAGACACGGAGGGAGTGGAGGGTGAGAAGAGCCTTCAGGTCCAATGACTCAGGCAGAAGCACACTCTTCCGCAGAGCAGAGGGAGACAGGAAACGAGCACCACCTCAGAACCAATGTCTAACGGCTCATCTTTATAACCGTGAGCAATTTCCAGGTTTTAATTTAAAGTGAAAATTGAGGTTAGGCACGGTGGCTCATGCCTGAAATCCAAGCACTTTGGGGTGCTGAGGTGGGCACATCACTTGGGGCCAGGAGTACAAGGACAGTCTGAACCCGAACAACATGGTGAGACCCTGTCTCTACTAAAAATACAACAATAAGCCGGGCATGGTGGTGGGCGCCTGTCCTCTCAGCTACTTGGGAGGCTGAGGTGGGAGGATCGCTTGAGCCCAGGTGGTAGAGGCTGCAGTGAGCTGTGATTGTGCCACTGCACATCAGCCTGGGCGATAGAGCAAGACCCTGTTTCAAAAAAGAAAAGAAAAGAAAGTTGAATTGAAGACCTAATTTTGGACAGAAAGGAACAGAGGATATAATATCCTCTGGACTATTTAAAAAAGCATACGTACAGCTAAACACTTAGAAAAGCCTGTGGTAAACCCCTCTAGGGATGTCCTTGACTTTGGACCCTGAGGTCCCCTCTCCACCCACCTGCCCCTAGGTTCTGGGCTTTGTGTCTGCCCACCTTCTCAACGAGGCTGGCCTGGGCAGGCTCTCGGGAGGCTGCGGGAGCTCGGGGACCCATCTCTCTTGCAGCAGATTAGAAAGATGTCATTTTGCCGACAGTGCCATTTATCACGGCAGCTGCAAAAATTAGTGACGCTTGGGCTGTCGGTGTTGGGTGGGGGTGGGAGCAGGTGGCAGCAGCCAATGCCCCGGCATGACCAGGTCAGGGAACTGCAGGCCAATCTCTGAATAGGGCTTTTCTGACTTAACACCTAGCCCAGGTGCAGGCCCTCCGTTGGAAAGATGAGGAGGCTGAGTCCCAGAGCCCGGAAATAACTGTGGCCACATGACAATCTCTTTTTTGAGACAGGATTTTGCTCTGTTGCCCAGGCTGATGTGCAGTGGCACAATCTTGGCTCACTGTAGTAGCTGGGACTATAGGCACACGCCACCAAGCCTGATTAATTTTTACATTTTTTGTAGAGACATCTTGCTATGTTGCCCTGGCTGGTCTCGACCTCAAGGCTTCAGGTGATCCTCCTGCCCTGGCCTCCCAAAGTAGGATTACACAACTGAGCCACCATGCCCAGCCCATGTGACAAATTAATGGCCCGTCTCTAAATACAGGTTTAGGTTCTGTGTGTGACCAGGACCAGGGCTCAGTGGGTGACCAGGGTCAGAACTTGTCTGGGGTGAGGTGTTTTACTTCTTTTTTTTTTTTTTTTTGGAGATAGAGTTTCACTCTGTCACCAGGCTGAAGTACAGTGGTGCGACCTCACCAGGCTGAAGTACAGTGGTGCGACCTCAGCTCACTGCAACCTCCCCAGGTTCAAGTGATTCCCCTGCCTCAGCTTCCTGAGTAGCTGGGACTACAGGCATGGGCCACCATGCCCAGCTAATTTTTGTATTTTTAGTAGAGATGGGGTTTCACCATGTTGGCCAGGATGGTCTCGATCTCTTGATCTTGTGATCCACCTGGCTCGGCCTCCCAAAGTGCTGGGATTACAGGCGTGAGCCACCGCGCCTGGCCAGTGCTTTACTTCTATTAGGACTAAACTCTATTTTTGCCTTTATGGCTCAGTCTAGGACAAACCTTCAGCCTCGCCCCAGCTGCCACCAGACAGGGGCAGGACTGAAACCGAGCCGTAAAGCTGAGACTCACTCTTGGGGTTGGTTTATGGTACCAAGGGAAGGGGAGAAGGAGGATGGAGGGTTCAGAAGGAACATTTGGGGGATGAAGATGGCCCCGCCAACAAAGCGATGCCAACTCCAGGGAAGATGAACGGGGCCTCCCTTGTGCCTCCGCCTGCAGAATGACAGGGTCATTAGCCTGGGCTCCACCTTTGGATGAAGTGGTCCCAGCTCTTGGCCTTGCCTTTCCTGTGGTAGCGCCCCCAGAGGGGTGACCTGCAGAAGGTCAGGAGCGGCCTCCCAGGTCTGGCTGAATGCTGACGCAGCCCCTTCTGAACAACTCCGGGGTTCTAGCTTGACCTTGCAGGAAGCCCTGGTTTGATCCTTGCAGGACTTGAATCCGTATCTTCAGGTCATTAGGCCCCAGAGCTGGCACCTGATCACACACAAAGCCCCCGTCCATCCATTCATCCATCCATTCATTCAACAAACATTTGCTAAGCTCCTGCCCTGTGCCAAGCCCTGGCTGGGCCCGGGAGTACGGAGAATCGGTCTTTACCCTGGCCTCCAGGAGGTCAGAGGCTGTGTGAGTGAGAGGGTGGGAATCCACCCTCTCCTGCCACGAGCAGTTGATGGAGGCTGGATGAGGCTCAGGGCCTGGCAGGAGGCCCGCCTGAGGTTCTGCCCTTCTCTCCAGGGGCAAGACAGGCCTGACTCCATGTTGGATTACCTCGGCCAGGGCTTGGTGGTGTGATATAGCTAGCCTAGAGTTAGAACCTGTACACTGCCATTTTATAAAGAGACAAAACTGTTTCCATTCTCCTCACAATGACTGCTAACCTTGGCTTCTGTAAACTGCTAAGTTTACTTTGCAAAATGCAAAAAGAGGTAAAGCTGCATGCCTTCTCTTATCTGTAACTGCCAGAATTGCTGGCCTCTGTTTACCGGTACTGACCAGAGTAAGCACCCCCAGATAATTCCATCCTGGCGCCAAGCAACTGAAAAATCTGTGGACCCCACACCTGTCCAAATAATGTATAAACTAATGTTTATCTTGACTTCTGTAAACCACTTAAGTGGCAATCGGAATGACAAAAGTCCCCTGGCCCTTGGAATGTCGGGAGCCCCCTCACCCTTGTCTCAGCCTAGGAGGTGATTGACAGCTTTCATTCCCATCTCCACTCTTCACCCCCACTCCCAAGGTGGTTTTGCAGGTATAAAAAGGTCTTGTCATCCTTCTTTCTCTGCCACGGGTTGGAGAGATGTGAGTCCTCTGTGGTCGCGGGCAATAAACCCTGCAATTTGGCATACTTTTGTCTTGCTGTTGACTTTCTGTGCTCGGTCCAATACAACAGTGGTAGCATTGCAGTCCCACCAGCCCCCGAGACACTGGCTGGGGTGGGGACTGGTCTCTGTTCTGCTGTTGCTGGAGGGAACCCCAAGGCCAATCATGATTCTGGCTTTCAAGACCTGGGGTGATGGTGACCCCGGGTCAAGAGCAGAAGAGGGGCCCTGCCTGCAGGGACATGGGGGCACACCATATGGAGGAACACAGGGGGTGCACACACGTGTCCCTTACTGCATACACATGGCACAAGACACACACATAAATGTGCAGACCCACACCTTACTCTACACATGCCTGGTACCAGCTCCTTCAAACACATGCCTCATGCTACAGTCACAGGGAAAACACAGACAAGACCCACACTTGTACCGCGCATGCGCACAGGCCCCACGCCACCCAAGGCCACACCTTTTACTGCCCCCGCCCCACCCTGCCTGCCCCTCTCTCCCAGGCTTCTCGTCTCCTGCACAGATACGTGCCCACCCAGGCTCACTGGCGCCCCCCACTGCCCTGGAGAAGTAAGTCTACAAACCCTGAGATGCCCCCACAGGCAGAGAGAGGCAGGATGCGCCTCGGGAGGGAGGTCACGGGAGTCCCTGCATTCCCGCAGCAGCGGTGGCCGCTGGCTGCTCTCAGCGCCCCCCAGTCTGGGCCCCGGCCTCTGGGCGCTGTGCACGTGCTTGGGAGACTGCGCCCACGAAGACAAGCCGGGGCCCCACCCCTGTTCCCAGCACTCAGAGACGCCCACCTCGGGAGGACTAAACAGAGCTCCTGCCACCGGCTCCTTGCGGGTGGGGTGAGGGCTGGCGGGAGGACACATGCCCCTGAGCCCTGGGGGTCCAGGCCGCGCGGCCCCGCTCACTGGCGGAGGGTCACCCGCCCCTCCCGTTCCTCCGCTCCCGCTTCCTCTCCCGCCCACGGGCTCCCCGCCGGCCGCTCTCTCCCCCAGACCCTCCCCCACGCCCGCCCGGCTTTCCTTTCTCTGCTCTCTGGCTCCCTGTGTCCCTGTGACCTGCTTATCCTCTAGAATAAAGGTCGACATTTTCAATTACCCCCAAAATAACAGAGCGGTTCTCGGGCCCTGGCGCCGGTTCGCGTGCGGGGCCTGCGTGGGGAGCGGGGGGCGCCCACGGTCCCACTGGCCTTTGTTTGCTTTTTCTCATCCGGAGCCTTCATGTTTTCCTGGAAGATTGGAAGCACGTTTCCCTTCAGGGGAGGAAGGGAGACAAAAGAGAAATAAAAACCGTCCTCGTTGTCTTGTGAACAGTGTAGAGCGGAGCAGGGGCTCGGCAGGAGGGAGGGGCGCGAGGGAGCGGCCGGGACCCAGACAGGGGCCTGCGGGCTGGGGTGGAGTCAGAGGACACGCGGGGAGTGGAGCAGGAGCCCCTCGAGGCCGGGGGGAGGGTGGGCGTCCTGCAGGAACGGCTGCCGGGAGGGGAGCAAGGCGGGGCTGACGCGGGGCTGCTGTGGGGCGGGGTTTGAGGACAGACAGCATCTGCCCATCGCCAGGAAGGCGCTATTCTCTGTGTCCCACCCTGCGCCAGGCTCTGGGGGCGCTGAGGTGAGTGACAGACATGTCTCCGCTCTCATGGGGCATTAACTCTACCGGAAACAAAGCGGTGGCTTCTGTGATCAGCACTCGTATCCACTGAGGTTCAGAGAGGGTGGGTGACCTGCCCGAGGACACACAGCGGGAGGTGAAGGGACCGGGATCCCAGTCAGGTCCGTGTGATCGCCGTCTCCTTTCACACCGCCTCGGCCGGGCAGACTTGGCTCCCGCGGGGCCTTGAGCAAGTGCTCCCCTCTCTGGGCCATCATTTTCTCCATCTGGAAAGCGGCCAGCATGCTGACGCCCTGCAGGGCTGCGGGGAGCATCGCATGTCTGGATGTGAAGGACGTTCAGCTCTGGCTCTCGGGCGAGCTGGCTGGGGGTCGGGGAGCAAAGACCACCGGGGGCTGGGGAGGGACTGGCCGCAGGGAAAGGAGGCCCGACCGCAGCTTCGCTCCCTGCTGCCGCCCCGTGGCAATAATTGGGTACTGCCGAGGGTGGGTCTGCACCGCCTTCTTCCGCTTGCGCAAGCCCCTGAGCAGGAAGGCGCCTTGAGGGAGTGTTGGCTGGTCCTCCCTAGCCCCATTTTTCGGATGCCCAGAGAAGGGAGGGACTCCTCCTCAGGTCATCCAGGGCAGAAGCTTGGGCTGGGCTGGGATTGGCTTTCAGACTATGGTACCTCCCTCCAGCCCTGCGGTACTCAAGAAGCCCCCAGTCAGCTTCAGAGCAAGAGAGACAGAGTTCTGCATCCTCTGCTTGATGCCACCACCTCCAGGGAGGCTTCCAGGGTCTCCTCCACTAGGAATTGGTCTCACTCCTGCCCTGCAGTCCCACACTCGAACTCTCCTTGCTCCTGCCCCCACCAACCTTGACTGTCCTTCTGCCCACAGCAAATCAGGCGCAGGGCCCCTGAGGCACGGGGGATGGTGGAGAACCATCATCACCACCCAGGGAGCATGTGCCAGGGGCCCACTCTGTGCTGCGGCTCTACCTGCGTCCTCTCACTTGAACCTCGTAAGAACCTCAGCAAGCTGGGGCATTTTGATCCCCATTTTTCAGGTGAGGAAAGGGGCACAGAGAGGTTATAACTTTTAGAGGGTGGATGAGGATTCAAACCCAGGTCTGTCCTTACTCTGGAGAGGCGCTGGCATTTGGAGGTGAAAACTACCCCCATGGCCATATGACAGCCCAGTGTGACCGGACACTGAAATAACCAGTCCAGGGGGGCTTGTGGGCTGGTGTCTCAGCTTCACTGCTGTGCTGGTGGGTGATTCAGGCCAGGCCCATCCCTCTCTGGACCCTGGTTCCTCATCTGAGTACTGTGTGTGTGTGTGTGTGTGTGTGTGTGTGTGTGCGCATGCACGTGTGTGTGTGTGTGTGTGTGTGTGTTCTGAGCTACCTCAGAGGTCCATTCTGGCTTTGAGTGTGGTTACATCTCTTCTTGGGCAGGTCCAAGGGAGGGCACAAGCGATCAGCTCTGGGACAGGTATGGGGCTGGTCCTAGGGCCTGGATGGGTCTCTCTCCGCTGCGTGCCATAGAGGGGAGTTTGTCTTGCAGGAAACAGCCTCATCCATCAGCGGCAATGGGGCGCTGACAGCGGCCACTCCCCACCAGCCCAGGCTGGAGGCAGACTCATAAATCCCACTCCAGGCTGGGCTGTAAATTCCTGTGATTCATATCTGGCCTCTTGGAGGACAGAGACATTTGGGGCCGTGGGGCTGGCTGTTCTCCTCCAAGGAGGCAGGCGGGTACTGGGGAGAAGCCTATTCATGGGCATAGCAGTCTCAGCTGGCCCCTCAAGGAGATGCAGTGCTGAACCCCCAGGATGCCTCAGGCCCAGCCCAGGCCACCTCTGCCTGGGCCATTCCTGTGTCCTGGCCTGAATCACTCTGGGGGTCACATGTGTGGACACGTTCTGTGGCCTCAGAGATCGCATGGAGCCTGTGGCCTGAAGGGTCAGCTCCATAAACCCCACCCCAAGGTCTTCTGCCGATCCACACCGATGTCTGTCTTGGGACCATGAGGACACTGTGGGAAGTCGGGGCCCTGTCTGCACGTTTCCCATTCCAGGGAGGCCAGGGCCCCCAATCCACTGTCCCTTAGGCAGGAAGGGGACAGGGACACTCAGACCGGGGCTGCAGACATTTGTCAACTTTCATCTGGACTTTTGCCACCCTCAGATGCCACCTGAATTCTTCTTCACTCAGCATTTTAAAAAATCAGCTTACTTTTATAATTTAAATGTGTGTTTTAGCCTCATCTTTAGCGATATCTCTGAAATTAGCGTCTGATGTACTAGTCAAATACCCGCACACATACGCACATGCACAGGTACATACAGGCTCATGCCCATGCACACACTGACACATGTATATGAAAATACACACATAAAATATATACTGAAAGTAAACACAGAATAGCAAACGTTCAGCTCTGTGTACCATCTACTCCTGTTTTAGGTTTAGAGTGGCTCCAGCCTCCTCCCATTATGGTGAAACAAACCGGGCTCAGATGGCTCACAGAGCTGAGAGTTTTCCAGCCATTCTAGCCTCCCCCATTTTACAGACAAGGAAACCAAGATCCAGAGAGGTATAGGGCCTGCCCGAGGTGGCACAGCACTGGGATTCATAGCCAGCTCGCCTGACTCCCAGTTGAGTGCTTCTTTTACGGAAGCACGCTCCCTGCGGTGTGCAGGCCTTCTTCCTCCAGAGGCACATGTGGACTCAGAGGGCTTTTGGAGACTGCGCGCTAACACAGGGTTCACTGCAAGGCGGGCTTCCTGGTGGCAGGCTGATGGGAATGCTGGCGGTCTCCTGGGTCCTGGTGGGACCAGGCACTGGCTGCCAGCTCTGTCTGTGCTTTATCCTGGTGTTCTTGGTTCCTGCAGCGCCTCAGGATTGGGGGGAAGTGGGGTAAGAGGGGTCCCAGGTGAGGGAGAGAGCAGGGCTCTGGCAGCAGCCCTTCCCCAGGGAGTTGGTTACTGAAGAGATCATTAGTGGCACTGGCTCTCAGGCTAGCAAGGAAGGTGACCTCATTAGTAAGTGCCCTCCCCTGTGCCACCTCCACCTTTCCACCTGCAGGCTCCTGCCACCCACACTGCCACTGACACCACTGCCATCACCCCAGGGATGTGGCGCAATAGGCCTTCTGTTGGGGACAAGGCTGCCAGCTCAAGGCAGCCAGGAAGGAGATGTGTGTGCAGGGTGGCAGGGGTGCATGTACATTGAATACACACACAGACACACGCACAGACACACACACAGACACACACCCACACGTACACACACCCACACAGACACACACATGCAGACACAACACAGACACAGGCAGACACACACAGGCAGACACACGTACACACACCCACACACAGACACCGGCACACATGCTTATACACATGTACAGGCATACTGCATGAATAGAGGCATGCACATAGATCTGGCGAGCGCACACACATGCTTATACACTTGTACAGGCACACTGCATGAATAGAGGCATGCACATAGATCTAGCGAGCGCACACACATGCTTATACACATGTACAGGCACACTGCATGAATAGAGGCATGCACATAGATCTAGCGAGCGCACACACATGCTTATACACTTGTACAGGCACACTGCATGAATAGAGGCATGCACATAGATCTAGCGAGCGCACACACATGCTTATACACATGTACAGGCACACTGCATGAATAGAGGCATGCACATAGATCTAGCGAGCGCACACGCATGCTTATACACATGTACAGGCACACTGCATGAATAGAGGCATGCACATAGATCTAGCGAGCGCACACACATGCTTATACACATGTACAGGCACACTGCATGAATAGAGGCATGCACATAGATCTAGCGAGCGCACACACATGCTTATACACATGTACAGGCACACTGCATGAATAGAGGCATGCACATAGATCTAGCGAGCGCACACACATGCTTATACACATGTACAGGCACACTGCATGAATAGAGGCATGCACATAGATCTAGCGAGCGCACACCCATGCTTATACACATGTACAGGCACACTGCATGAATAGAGGCATGCACATAGATCTAGCGAGCGCACACACACACCCCACAGATACTTGCATGGTAACACGCATAACTCCCCAGACACACTGTGCAAGCACACAGATCCAACAGAGACATGTACACACATGGGTGGGTCTCCAAGTGAAGCCCTACAGTGCACACGTATAGAAACCCATATGGGACACAGGCGATGTGCACCCCAGGAGATGCACGCATGTGTTCTCACAAACACACAGTCCCGTCTCCAGACCTGGCATGTGCATAGAATTGTACACACGCGGGTATGTGTTGACAGACCTGCAGACCAGCCCGGGGCGTACCACTATGCAGGGACACCCACATGCACACGGACATGCACATGGAGCACACACAAGTTATTTTTTCTTGGAATCTAACAAGGCCCAAGAAGCAGGAGTGGCTAATTCCCTGGAGGAAGTGAGGAGACCTGAGCCAAGGGCACATTTAATGAATTCAAGAGGAAAGGAGGGAGAGAGGAGTGAAATGAGAGGGCGGAGAGGAGAGGGGAGAGGGCAGCAGGAGGGCGAAGGGGAAGTGGGCAGCGAGGAGGCTGAGGGACCCTGGGCCCATGGGCATTAACCTTTCCAGCTCAGGGCAGGCCCAGGCTCTTCCTCACTCACCGCCAATCCTAGAACCAGCCGGGCCCTTCAAGGTCAAGTGGTGGTGCTGGCTCTGAAGCCCACCTGTGCGCCCCCTCCACACAGCTCTGGGGACCGGGCACACCTGACTTTCACCTGCTCCCACCGAGTGGAAACCTGCCCCCCAACCCCGAACCTCCCATCCTCATTCCCACTTCTGCTCTGTGCGTTCATTGGCTTAGGGCTGTGGGGGCTCTCCTATCACAGGTCCAGGGCGGGGGTGGGGGGAGATGCCGCTGCCCAGGGAGGCCCCTGCTGGGCACCAGGACAGCTCCTCCCACCCCTGCCCTGACCTCAGCCTTGAGACAGAGTCTGGGAGATGGAGATGGACAAGGACAGGGTCTCTGAGGGAGAGGGAGGGTGTGAGCCAGGAGAGAGGGGAGGTGGGGGTGGTGGGAGTGAGACAGGGAGATGGGGGGCAGTAAGAAAGATGGGGAGACACTAAGCAAGAGATGGAGAAAGATATGAGAGGGGCCGGGATGGTTGAGAGTCAGACCCGGAGACACACGAAGAGGACACTGGAGAGAACCAGAGAAACAGAGAAAGGCCGGAGAACCCTGGCCTAGAGAGGATGCTGTGTCACCCTGCCTGGGCACCCAGCCTCTCTGAGCCTAGTCTACTTGGTCTATGAAGCAGGGGGACTGACCCTGCCTGCCTCCGAGAGGGCCCTGAGGCTCCAGTGGGAGGCTAGCCTGGTCCCTTTCTTCCCTCTACTCCCCCTAGTCATGCAGGCCTGCAGATGGGGGTGGGGACTCCCTTCCAGGGCCCAGGCTCCACTTGGAAGCCCCTGAGTGGCAAACCAGGTGAAAGAGGAAAGTCCCTGTGGGGCGGTGTCGTGTGCTGCAGCCGTGAGCATGGCGTGATGGAGCCTTTGCCCTGAATATTGAAAATGCATAAATATCCATTTTCAGGCACCAAGGCGGATATAAATACAGAGGGGAGGGTGTGTAGCCCTCAGCTGTAATTTACCGGCTCTCTACCCTTGGGGGCATGGGCTCTTGCTCGTGGCTGGCAGGAGGCTTTTCCAGATGGCTTTATGACCACCAGTGGCCACCCGGATCCCTTCTCCTGGAGAAGTGGCTCCTTGGGATCCCCTGCCTGAGCTGAGGGTGGGGCAAGGCTGGGGCTGCCGTTCCCACCTTCTCCTCCTCCAGCATCTCCTCACTTGAGGGGGACAGAACCACATCTTGGGAGGGAAACTGAGTTGGTTCTGGCCAGGTCAGAGGTTCTGCATGTCCCAGGCTTGGCCACTCAGGCCTGGTGTGTACCCAGCCCTGGTGCACTTGGATAAAATCGGAGGTGGTCCAGTCCTGCCCATGGGTGCTTCCAGACTGCGAAGCAGAGATGGCACCCTAGGTCCTGCCCTTGGGAACTCACCCAAAGGAACCTGATGGTGGAAGTGTCTGGATAAGTCAGCATGGGGCAAGACCCGTGTCCTCTCTGGAGTGCACCAGAGGCCTGAGGCCAGAGAGG